CATTAGTTTGTCTTTATAATAATATATTTTATGTTACATGCATTACCATTAGTTTGTCTTTATAATAATATATTTTATGTTACATGTATTACCAGTAGTTTGTCTTTATAATAATATATTTTATATAACATGTATTACCAGTAGTTTGTCTTTATAATAATATATTTTATTATTTATTGGAAATTAGAGTACCATTCTAGTCTTTTCTGTGATATTATTTATTATTATTTTGCAAAAAATATATATATACCTAAAAAAACGTTTTTAATGAAAATTTACTAAATATTACCAGACACCAGGTCACGCTATCTTTCAATGGCTGGGGTTTGGCAAGCTATACCTAACGAAGAGATGTGTGTGTATGTAAGAAAAATACAAACCCGTATAACTTGAGTGTTCTTGGAAGGTGGACCTTTCTTCATCAGGGACAAATTACTTTTGTCTGTAATTTATCGAACCTACTTGTTTTCCTAACGTCGTGATTGATACAAGTACAATCTCAATCTGTGGACTATCATTGGTTTGGGGATATAACAATATTTAACTTTCTTCTAGAAATCCTACTGGTGTACTTCAAAAGGCAATGATCACCATCCTTTTCCAACTAAACTAAGCAATGACAATGGGGAGTATTTTGAGAAGGAACCAGTTGGGTTAATGTCTGGAATACAGATATTGTCATTGACCAAGGTATTTAAGAAACGTCTTATTTCTTGATATGAAAGTATAATTATTGCTGTTTCTAACGAGAGTTTCAAGACTTTTTTCTGTGTATTAAACTGTTACCCTATTATTATGAAATCAGAACAAAAAAAAGCAAGAGAAAAACATTAGTGTAAATATTAAACCGTATAAGGAAGTCAGTTAGTAGGAACATTTTTAAAAAACTCTTGAGAAAACACTTTTTTCAACACAGTACCTGGCCCAACTAAGGAGTCGTATTTTAAAAAACTCTCTTGAAAACTCCACTCGTAGTTGTTTTATGGATGTTTTCGACTATTTCTTACAGATGATAATCTTTAGGGAAATACCTGAATCAATTAGGGGGAGGAGGTGTCCTACAGAACCTAAACTTTTAGTGGCCAGATCCTAAAGTGATTAGTTACTGTGTAGACATAATGGTCAATAATTGACCATTTCAAATCAGTGTAAACATTTGTTGTGTAAATTGACTCTTTTAGTGTGCAAATCGTCATTTATTGTAAAAGAAATAATATTTTCCCCTAGGAGTAGCAAACGTTAGTTTATTCACTGGTTATAAAGCCGCTTACGGACTCAGGAAAAACCAAGAGATTTTATATTGCCTAACAAGCTGAATCGATATTTACAAAACTCGGTATGTGTGTCAGCTTATAATTGACGAATCACCAGACCAATTATAACCAAATCTGGCAAAGAACCCGTAGCACCTCCTGGGGAGTGACACAGGCTGGGTTGATATTTGGATCAGACTTTCCTACAGAACCCTATGTTTTCTTTGAATGGGTACGTCAGGTAGTGAACATTATAGATAAGACCAGAGAGAGGATAGAAATGTCTTCTTATAACCAAATCTGGCAAAGAACCCGTAGCACCCCCTGGGGAGTGACACAGGCTGGGTTGATATTTGGATCAGACTTTCCTACAGAACCCTATGTTTTCCTAGTTCTTTGAATGGGTACGTCAGGTAGTGAACATGTTTTCCTAGTTCTTTGAATGGGTACGTCAGGTAGTGAACATTATAGATAAGACCAGAGAGAGGATAGAAATGTCTTCTTATTGTTTTATCTTTCTAGGTGTTTGGGGAGAAATGTGCTGTCAACAACATTAGTGTTAACATGTTCAGAAGTCAGATTACAGCATTATTAGGACACAATGGGGCAGGAAAATCAACAACTGTTTCGATGTTAACAGGTGAGTTAAACAATAAAACTTAACGGATGAGTTAAACAGTAAAACTTAACAGATGTGTTAAACAATAAAACTTAACAGGTGAGTTAAACAATAAAACTTAAAGGATGAGTTAAACAATAAAACTTAACAGATGTAGTTAAACAATAAAACTTAACAGATGAGTTAAACAATACAATTTAACAGGTGAATTAAACAATAAAATTTAACAGGTGAATTAAACAATAAAACTTAACAGATGAGTTAAACAATAAAACTTAACAGATGAGTTAAACAATACAATTTAACAGGTGAATTAAACAATAAAATTTAACAGGTGAATTAAACAATAAAACTTAACAGATGAGTTAAACAATAAAACTTAACAGATGAGTTAAACAATACAATTTAACAGATGAGTTAAACAATACAATTTAACAGATGAATTAAACAATAAAACTTAACAGATGAGTTAAACAATAAAACTTAACAGATGAGTTAAACAATACAATTTAACAGGTGAGTTAAACAATAAAACTTAACAGATGAGTTAAACAATAAAACTTAATAGATGAGTTAAACAATAAAACTTAACAGGTGAGTTAAACAATAAAACTTAACGGATGAGTTAAACAATAAACTTAACAGATGAGTTAAACAATACAATTTAACAGGTGAGTTAAACAATGAAACTTAACAGGTGAGTTAAACAATAAAACTTAACAGATGAGTTAAACAATAAAACTTAATAGATGAGTTAAACAATAAAACTTAACAGGTGAATTAAACAATTATACAAAGTCATGGGCTGATGGTTGAAGCATCATGGCAAATTAATGGATTATTTTACATTTTTTCCAGATCATATCAGGCTAGGGGATGTATAGTTGCAAGTGTTTTTTACTATTTTCAAATATTAATAATTATACCAGGTCAATTCTTTTGACCTTTTCACTTTAAAAGTTTATAATGATGTTAAGTTTTATTAGCTGTTTCTTAAGTTCTTGGTCAGTTACATTTTGTGGAAGGACATCCCGTATCCCTGTCAAAATGTGCTTTACGCTACCTTATTAAACACCACTAATGTGGATACTTTTCTACACAGGACTATTCCCACCAACTTCAGGGACGGCACTAGTGAATGGTTTTGATATCTGCAAAGACATCATTGGAGTCCACTCTGGACTCGGAATTTGTCCACAACATGATGTCCTGTTCGACGACCTGACTGTAACTGAACATCTAGAGTTTTTTTGCAAAGTACGGTGTACGGATTACATATGAACTATATAGAAATCAGCTTAAGAGATTAATCCATTCCTTTTTGTCATTACTACTTTAATATTTGATACTTTGTTTGTTTTTTCCCAAGTCTTAGAGAAGGTAATATGTGTGATATTACGTCATAATTCGGTCGTATTATCCGTTACTATCAATTGTTATTACGATGTAACATCACATTCATTTTTGTATTATTAATGAATCAGGCTTTACTACAGAAGGAGTGGCTTAATGAGTTTCTTTGGTCAAAATATACCAGGAAGAATTGGGCCCGGCATGGCCAGGTGGTTAGGGTGCTCGACTCTCAATCTGTGGGTCGCGGGTTTGAATCCCCGTCACACCAAACATGCTCGTCCTTTCAGCCATGGGGGTGTTATAATGTGACAGTCAATCCCACTATTCGTTGGTAAAAGAGTAGCCCAAGAGTTGGCAGTGGGTGGTGATGACTAGCTGCCTTCCCTCTAGTCTTACACTGGTAAATTAGGGACGGCTAGCACAGATAGCCCTCGTGTAGCTTTGCGCGAAATTCAAAAACAAACAAACAAACAAACTAGGAAGAAGTGGAGAGCAAGGTTACAATTTCCAAAGACATGTATTCTGTGCCAGTAATTCAAACCAAAAGCTAGTGTTTCTGTCTTTCCTAAGCAAGGTGTACTAACTTATCTATTTACTGTTACTTTCCTTGACAGTGTTGGTTATACTAGTTAGTATATCAAATGTCATTACTTTTAGTTTTGATTTTATTGTCATAATTTTATTATAAGTATTGTTTTGCAATGTTAGCTTAATATATGGATTTAGGACTAACCAGAACCTCCTAAGCTGGACCGAACCTCATGAACTATTATTAGGTTTACGGCCGAAAATATCGTTAACCGTGAGGGTACCTAAGTGATTAAATAATGTATTCTAATCTTTATAAGTAGAAATGTGAGAAAAAATACTTAATTAGTTAAACTGATGGCCAGGTTGATTTTTAGTTTTGTTCTAGGTACATAGCTTACTCCGATTGGAAGAATATCGATTGTTATCAACTCTCTAGTTAATTTACAGTATTAAAATATAGAGAGGAGTCTCTTCATCCAAGAATACTAATAACATATGAGGACTATATTTCTCTATGACTTAACAGAGGAACAGTGTGTTTTATATTGTGCTTTAGGAGATGATAGCCTAACATTACAATAACTGCAGATTAACAACAACGTAACAACTTGATGAAAATGTTGTGGTGACATTCTGTGTTTTAATTTCAACTGTATATTGTAGTGGGACTTTAGAGTGCTTAGAATGACTGTGATTGTAACAGACAAACAAAATTAAATGACAAGTTGAACAATTTCCAAGTTTTTTATATTTTTATTTGAAGAAGGATGACGTTGCGAGCTAGCACTCTTCGTCAGATCGTATTATGACATTTCAAGCTAGCACTCTTCGTCAGATCGTATTATGACATTTCAAGCTAACGCTCATCGTCAGATTGTATGATGATGTTTCGAGCTAGCACTCTTCATCAGATCGTATGATGACATTTCAAGCTAGTGCTCATCGTCAGATTGTATGATGATGATGTTTCAAGCTAGCACTCTTCGTCAGATCGTATGATGACATTTCAAGCTAGTGATCATCGTCAGATCATATGATACATTTCAAGCTAGTGCTCATCGTCAGTTTGAACAGCTCTACAATTCGAAGAAGAGCGCTAGCTTGAAACTTCATCATTCTATAAATAAAAATATAAAAAAACTTGATGATTGTTCAACCTATTATTCAATTTAGATATTTTTGTCACCTATGTAGTTTTAACTATATTTATCTTTTTATATAACAGACAAACAATCGGCCTTCAGGAATGTATATTTTACATTCATATATTGCCCAATTATATATTAGGACAGTATAAATAATTTTAAAAAAGGCTTAAGGTATACGTAATCTATTCTTCAGTTTTTGTAGAATGGTTTTGAATCCATACTGTTTTTGGTAAATAAAATAATAAATTATATATATATTGGCTCAATATTCACTATCACAGCTTCGATTACTTACAAGTTAGCTAATGCAGTTGGTTGTAGGTTATTGAAAGCTCCTGACGAACCTGTAGTAGAAAACTTATGGGCTTATAAAGATAAATATACTTCATTATTTCAGTTAAATTAATAGAAAATTCTTGTAATAAACTCCAGTTTTCCTCAAACAAGGTTAATGGTAATATTTTTGATGAAGTTATTGTGTCTAATAGTTTTATTTGTCAAAAGTTTGCTCGATTTAAAGTCAGAATCAAACTAATGAACTATTTAAGATTTATTTTGTTCTTTCATCCTTATATATATGTGTATTCTTAAACATGTGGTTGAGATTTAAAAAGTAAAACAAAGAGTTAAAGAAATTCTTAATAGCAGTTATATTTTTTTCTTGAATCTACATGCTTATGTTGAAATGTTTCTAAACATTTGGTGTTATATTTGCTCACATTGCATTTCGATTTCCCTTTTTGTTCTTGTTCTAACAGTTAAAAGGTTATATCTCTGACCTGGTACAACCAGAAGTGGAAAGAATGATCATAGCTCTTGGACTAGAAGACAAACGAGAAGCCCTTGCCAAGACCTTGTCTGGTGGAATGAAACGGAAATTATCAGTAGGCATAGCTCTGGTTGGTGGATCAGAGGTGGGTTGAGATATAAAAGTGATTATACAGACATTCAGACCCTCAAAAGTCATTGCACGATAATCTGTATTACTGTAAAAAAAAACTTGGCTGATGTAACTCTAAATTACAGTATTCAGTAGCAATGTTACGGTTAGTACATGGCCTCGTAATGTTCAAACTCTTTCAAAGTAATTAAAATTAATTCAAATATGATACAGATTCATGATTCTTCTTACCAGGTTTTAAACCAAAAATATCCTCTCTTGAAGAGGTCCCCAGAACATTCTGCATCTTGACTGATGCCCCCCCCCTACACCTAATGACCCTGTAGATACCAAGTACCTTAACAATACTGTGTATTAGTTGGAAAACCCCAATTGGGGTCTATTGGGTCTATTAAACATTTCACTGGTAGTTCAGTTGGCTAAAGCACCTGGCTGGTAACTAGTGATACAGGTTCAGACTGCTAGTTCAGTTGGCTAAAGCACCTGGCTGGTAACTAGTGATACAGGTTCAGACAAGCTGGTGATGGTTTCGTTGTCAAATGTGAGCCGATGGGCTCATATTCCTGTCTTCAAAACTGGGAAGCAACCATTAGACCCCAGTAATGGCTTCTCAGCTTTGGAGGTGAAAGAGTATAAAGATGTAGAAACACACTTTACATCAGACTTCCTCGTCTAAAATACCTTTAAATCTTATACCTCAATAACACAGTTTTAAGAGGGTAGATAAAAAATAAATTAGCTTTTTATCCACCCTGTCAGAGATGTGTTATTGAAATATATCTTAGTCGTGCATACCTGTACAAAACTACAATTTTGTACAGGTACGCACGACTAAGATATATTTCAATAACACAGCTCTGAGAGGGTGGATATTGTAGTTTTGTACAGGTAAGCACGACTAAGATATATTTCAATAACACAGCTCTGAGAGGGTGGATATCGTAATTTTGTACAAGTATGCACGACTAAGATATATTTCAATAACACAGCTCTGAGAGGGTGGATATGACAATATCCACCCTCTCAGAGCTGTGTTATTGAAATATATCTTAGTTGTGCATACCTGTACAAAATGACAATATCCACCCTCTCAGAGCTGTGTTATTGAAATATATCTTAGTTGTGCGTATCTGTACAAAATGACAATATCCACCCTCTCAGAGCTGTGTTATTGAAATATATCTTAGTTGTGCATACCTGTACAAAATGACATAAAAATCTTTGTTATAGAATGTATCTGGCCAATGACCTTCTAAACTAGTATTAATGTTTGTTTGTTTTTTAATACTTTTCTAAACCACACATCAAATTGTTTGTCGGTCAGGTGATTTGTTGTGTACAGGATTCTAATGATATACAGTTGAGTTGCACAAAAAACTGTAAAAAAAATCCCCTCCAATATTGCAATTAATCCCACTATGTATATTACATAAAAAGTGATTTCACCTATCTTTACTCTGAATGTTGCGACTGTAAAATGCAGTTTGTGGACCTCCTGCGAGTAAACAGTATAAAAACCATGGTAACTTGAGGGATAAGTTACTGCATCTAAGCACAAGTTCACTTAAACGGAATTCTCAAAGATTTCATGCAGAAAACTGGCAGGAAAATAAATGATCTGTGTACTTAATTAGGTGGTACTTTTGGACGAACCCACGTCGGGTATGGATCCTTCTGCACGACGTTTTATTTGGGATTTGCTACAAGCAGAGAAACAGAATCGTACCATCCTATTGACTACTCATTTCATGGAGGAAGCAGACATTCTGGGTGACAGAATAGCCATCATGGCAGAGGGGGAAATACAGTGTTGTGGTTCTCCTCTGTTTCTAAAGAAAAAGTATGGTGAGAAAAAGTACGCTTTGTTAAACAGTTACGATAGAAGAACCCAATTGTAGAAACCAGTTATAATTAACTCCCCCCCAGTGACTTATGTCTGTTAGTTGATCTGTTTGACGGAAAACGATGTATTACACATATAAAGTTAGTATTTTTTATGCTTGATTAAAAATGTTAAAGAATTCATTTTTTTTTTCATAGCATTTCAAATGAGTAACAGAGTATGAAGCTGTTTTGAAATACTAAAGGTGAAGATAAAAATTGTAGTTGAAGTTTTCTTACCTTTCTACTGAAAGATGAATGTTATAATCTGGATGATGATGTAGTTTACAGGTATTTTTGTAGAATGTGAGGTGTTAATAACTCACCTGGATGATGATGTAGTTTACAGGTATTGTTGTAGAATGTGAGGTGTTAATGACTGTTTTGTTTTTCAGGTGCTGGTTACCACCTGGTAATAGTAAAAGAACCACAATGTGACGTTACAGCCACCACTTCTCTGATATGTACTTACGTACCAAATGCAGAGATGGTGAGCAATGTTGGAGCCGAACTTTCTTTCAGCCTGCCTGATAAGGGTAGTCCGTACTTCGAGAACCTCTTTACTGAACTCGAAGACAAAAAGAAAGAACTGAAGATTTCCAGTTACGGTGCATCTGTTACAACGATGGAAGAAGTGTTCATAAAGTGAGCGATAAAAAAAAAACCTGTTAATATTGTAACTGTGTTATAAATGTACGTGGACGAATTCTGATTCATTAAACTCATCTTTTCTGAACCACTCAACAGTGTGTCAGGACGTTTCAAGTTTAACGTGTCTTCTTGTGACAGCATGTTAAGTATAACTTTCGGAATGTTTATCAGCAGACCAATATTGATGATTTTCAGTTACAACATTTATCCAAAATAAGCTAATATTAGGAAAATTATTGTAAAGAATTCAATTTTTTTGTGGAAAAAAATAGTGAGTTATCCCATTTACTACACTTCGAATTTTTTTAAACATGGTTCCTCTTATGTTACCGTAGATACAAGAAAGTGAATTAACCCGAGGATCCTAGCGTGTTTCCAAAAACACCACATAAAGATATGGAAAAGTTAGAAGATTTTCTTATTACACTAAAATAATTTGGTATACCTCAACTGTGAACTGAAATACTTTATTTTCATTTTATAACTACTCAGTGTAAATGTTCGTTCAAATCATACAGTGATTTGATTAAACTTACCTTGACGTTATGGAGTGAATGTTATCTTTATTCAAGGATAACTTTATCATCAATAATACTATTGTTTTTATAGACAATCAGTGTTTAGTTGGCAAGGGTTAGGAACTTGTCGACTGTAAGTTGTAAAACTGCTGACGCTATACAAGATTATTTTAAATAAACTTTATAACTAATAGTGCTTCTGTAATATATAATTAACTGCCTTCGTAATACTAGAGTATAGCCTGTCAAAAATGATGGGGCAAGTACTATTATCCCCACCCCATAGTATACCCTAACCTCACATTTCATAGCTAACTGAAATACATACATTTTGCAAAATCGAGCTTGACCAACAAAAAGGCAGAAAAGTGAAGCAGGCAGTCAAACGTCAGTAAGTTTCTTTGTCAGCCAATCAAAATTAAGATCATTCATGAAATGAATTCGTGACGTATTCGTAGAATAATTATTGGTAAAAATCAGTTAGATTAACAACTTCTAATATATAGAAAAGCCAGTACATTTTGGTAACACTACGTTCTAACAATGACTTTTATGTCATGTCGCTTAGCAAGAAAAGTATAACCTAATATTGTTGTTTGTCTATGTACTGAAAGTATAAAATGAAATGTATAGACAACAAAACTGGAAAAATATTTGTTGATTTCTTAATTTAGGGGCTTCGTTGATTAAAGAGGTTTGTTTTTTTATTAAAAACGTTGGTGATATAAGATAAAATAGCTTAATTCAGAAACGATTTAAGTTTAAAATTGAATCGATGTTTTTAATTTCATGATAAAGTTTAGGCACTTGGCTCTAGACTAGCTGATCCCACACTACGTCTTTACTTTAGGCTTATTATATCAACACTCACTACACTTATAAGGTTTCACGGCACCCCTCTCTTCACGACCCCTGTCACTAGAATCGTAATAAGTAGACAGTAATCGAACTATTCTATCTGGATAAATGCATTTTAGCTTTTATGACTCCTTCTATTTCAAGAAATCAAGCGTGACGTGACACATACACTGGCTTTTATATAGGTTGGATACTGCTTTTGTACTTTATATAAGTTTATTACAGTTTTTTCACAAACAGGTTACATCACTGTATAAGAATTCTCATGGTTTGTGGCAACAAAACCTCATACAAATGGGTCTGGTGTGGCCTGGTGGTTAGCAAGAGGGTCTATGTCTTGCATCCCGTTTCTGTAAAATCATACTCCACATTTGGGATCATGGGTGTGTCATAAGAGTAATGGTTAAATCTCACTACCTGATTAGAGTAGCCCAAGAACTGGCTGTGGGTGCTGTTGTCTAGCTGCATGTCCATCATTTCAAAACTCAGGATGGCTAGTGGAGGTAACCTTTGTGTAGTTTTATGTGAATATTTAAAACAAACTTCATGAAGTCCTGGTATATTACTTATAACACACAGTGCATTCATACTTATAACACACAGTGCACTAGTACTTATAACACACAGTGCGCTAGTACTTATAACACACAGTGTGCTAGTACTTATAACACACAGTGTGCTAGTACTTATAACACACAGTGCGCTAGTACTTATAACACACAGTGTGCTAGTACTTATAACACACAGTGTGCTAGTACTTATAACACACAGTGCGCTAGTACTTATAACACACAGTGCACTAATACTTATAACACACAGTGCGCTAGTACTTATAACACACAGTGCGCTAGTACTTATAACACACAGTGCGCCTTGGTGGTAGATTTCTAGTAAATATAGCATCAGAGAGCTACGACAAATTACGATGAATGTAAAATAGATTTCTCTCTATGTTATCATGTCTGCTTTACAGACAGTATACCTTTATAAATATTGGATGGAAAAACGAATTTTTTCCACTCATCAAATTAAACCCTCCTTGTTCATCGTTATTAATCTACTTTAAATGTGTTCATCTGACAGAGTTGGGGAATACTCCAGTGCTGCCATGAAGGAGCTGTTGAAACAACATGGAGAGGAGGAACTTCAAAATGGTTTCAACATGGTGATTTTACCCATTTGTATGATTTTACCCATTTACTGATCTAAGTTTGTTAGCATGTAAGTTAATACTGTATGATTTTACCCATTTACTGATCTAAGTTTGTTAGTATGTAAGTTAATACTGTAATGTAAGTTAATACTGCTAACAAACTTAGATCAGTAAATGGGTAAAATCGTACAGTATGAACTTACATACTAACAGACTTAGATCAGTAAATGGGTAAAATCGTACAGTATTAACTTACATACTAACAAACTTAGATCAGTAATTGGGTAAAATCATACAGTATTAACTTACATGCTAACAAACTTAGATCAGTAAATGGGTAAAATCATACAGTATTAACTTACATGCTAACAAACTTAGATCAGTAAATGGGTAAAATCATACAGTATTAACTTACATGCTAACAAACTTAGATCAGTATGTTAGGCTTATCTTCAATTTGAATAATAAACTTTTTCTTTCACTTTCGAAAATTTTCTAAACTTAGGATGTAGTTTTCATCAGTAATGAAGATTTTATAAACTTTTTTAATCTTACTTAATCCTCATTTTTCAAACATTAACTTCATAAGAGTTTAGCCTTCTTCCAACAAAGAAGTGGCTTGGCATGGCCTGGTGGCTAGGGCACTTGATTCACAATCTGCGGGTCTGGGAATCAAATCCTATCACTGAACATGCTCATCCTTGTAGCTATGGGGGCATTATAATATGATGGTCAATCCCACTATCTGTTGGTGGTGTTGACTAGTTGTCTTACCTCTAGTTCTAAACGAGGGATGGTTACTAAAACTTTAATATGTGAGATTTATAAAAAATGTCCTTAACTTCAGAGATGGGTTAACAGTAATAACTGTAGTCTAAAGTTATGACTTGTCTGTCACAGCAACAGAACATACCTTAAAATTGTCCTCCTCCAGTTAAAGCTGTTAAAAATGTGTGTTCCTGCGTTAATGTTTTAAGTTATAATATCTTTAGAAATGTAATTAACAATATTTGCTAGGCACAAGCAGAAAATACATCAAAGAGACTTTCTTGATTTCCTTTATTACAGGTGAAACGGCTATCACCGATTTGAAGCCACTCAACTGTGAAAGGAACACGGGATTTGTCCTTTTCATCCAGCAATTCCAGGCTCTTCTGATGAAAAGAATTCTCTACTCATTGCGTAACTGGATGTTGACCTTGTCTCAGTTGGTTTTACCAGCTCTCTTAATTACAATAACTCTTATTGTGCTGAAAACGCTACCAAAACCCAAAGATTCACCCCATTTACTATTGAGTCTTTCAGAGTTTCATGGTACCACTGTTCCTTACCAATTTCAGAAAGAAACGGTTGCAGCCACGTTAGCCGACAAATTTAGATCCCAGTTTCGAGGCACCGATAACGATGTTCTTCGAGTCAATTCCTCCGTAGATATCGTTGATTACTTGGTTAACCAAGGTAAAAAAGATATAGGATATTATAATCTTCACAACATGATAGCTGCAACGTTTTATAAAAACGCTACAAGTGACACGATAGATCTCACGTCCTTGTTCAACAGTCAAGCTTTCCACAGTCCTGCTGTGTCTCTAGCAGCCGTCGGAAATGCATTGCTGAAGTATGTTACCAGCGACAAACACAATTTGTCTGTAACCAACCATCCTCTGCCTAGGACAGTCAGTGAAAAGGTTAGTGTCTGATCTTGTTAGGTTATCTTTACCAAGAAAAGTCAATGAAATGTTAAAAATAGTTACGATTTTGTATATTGTGACTCGTCTTGTTTTTTCCCTACAGAAACCATATGCTTACATGAAATAAAAATACCGAGGTTTAGTTTCAGTTTCAAAGAAAATGTTTCGGCTCCATTGTTGCCCGTAGGATTACAGATCGTGTTCATTCTGATGGCCATGTTTACGCACAACTGCTTAATATGGCGGCAAACATTTACAAAAAACAATAAGGTCTATCTCCAACCGTGGATCTTGACAGACTTAAACCCCCTCTATTGTCATACTTGTTTGTTTGTTTTTAATTATGCACAAAACTACACAAGGGCTATCTGTGCTCTGCCCACCACGGGTATCGAAACCCGGTTTCTAGCATTGTAAGTTCGCAGACATACCGCTGT